TGGTAAAAGAGCACCAGGAAGCGGCCCGGGCTGCCCGGCTCCTGGCGGACCTCACACTCCCCGCCTCCCGATCTCTTCGGGCTCTGGAAGTACAGATGCAACTTGGTGCTCAACTTCTTCGGGGGGTCGGCGCCCCAGGACCCGTCCACCAGCAGCGGGAAGCAGCCCGGGGCAGCCATCCTCCCGCTCCGCCAGCCTGGCCGGGACTGTGCCACTCCCGCCCCAACTCAGAGGAGGTTTCCTTTGCCTCTTTCGGTTTCGTTTCTGGTGAAACTCCTCCCTGGCCTTTGGCTGTAAACAGCAACCCAGATTTGATTAGTCATCCCCTCCAAATCTTCACTTTTATCGGGGGCCCAGTGCCACGACCACTCCGGGTATCTGGATGCGCGCGGGTCCCTAAGCCCAGGGCTTGTTTGCCACTCACACAAGCCACAGGTGAAATCAGCATCTTTGGGTCACAAGACTTCCTGCAAACAAAGTTTTCTTTTAAGTTTTCTTTTTGCCTCAAGTGGACATTTTACAAGGAAATAAAATGGCTCATCGTACTGTGACTCTTTAGAATGTTTGGGGCCCGTTTGGGAACTTCTTTTAACATCAATTGTCAGAATTTTACCTCGTTTTCTTTCGCTTGCAGTTTGTTCCCTGATCTTTAATATTATATGCTCATGAGAAGTTATGACACAGTGGAATAAGTGCTTTTAGAAGGAATATACCGGTGTTCACGGAACAAATTGGGAGGCGCTTAGGCAGGGTTTATGGGGAGGTGACATGTAACCTNGAAGTTATGACACAGTGGAATAAGTGCTTTTAGAAGGAATATACCGGTGTTCACGGAACAAATTGGGAGGCGCTTAGGCAGGGTTTATGGGGAGGTGACATGTAACCTGAGGCCTAAGGACGATGAAGGATAACCTTGAAGGATTGAGAACAGGGGCGTGCCATAATGTGATGCACTAGTACAGAATCACTCCTGCTGCTGCTGGCCAGCTAGAGTAGAGGCAGGGAGGCCACCAAGTGGCTGCTCTGTTGTCCCAGGTAAGAGATGGGAGTGGCTGAGATCAGGGTGCTGGCAGAGGACCTTCTGAGAAAAGGTAGGGTTCTAAGTCAATAGTGAAGGCACAGCTGCAGGACTGGCTGAGGGATATAGGCAGTGAGAAGATGCTCATGGACAACTCCATGGTCATCCACATGTGGCGTAAGCGACTGGCTAGATCAGCGATTTCCAACCTGTGTGCCTCAAGAATTTTTAAAACATGCAATGCCTGACTATTTAGTCAGGGATATTGACCTCTTTTCCCTTAGATTGTCAAATTAAAAATTGACAATATGCCCTAGCTGGTTTGACTCCTTGGTTAGAGCGTTGGCCCTCGGACTGAAGGGTCTGGGGTTCAGTTCCAGTCAAGGGCACGTACCTCGGTTGCAGGTTCGATCCCTGGCCCGGTCGGGGCACGTGAGGGAGGCAAACAATCGATATGTCTCTCACACATGGATGTTTCTCTCTCTCTCTCCCCCTTCCACTCTCTCTGAAAAGCAATGGAAAAAGTATCCTTGGATGAGTATTTTTTTAAAAAGACAACAGCCATCCAGTGTGAATGAATCAAAATTATACCTATTTTTTTATCAGCTTGGCAAAAAATGTAATATATTTTTGGTGTGCCACAGAATTTTAGTAATTAGTTTATGAGTGCTATGAGATGAAAAAGGTTGAAAATCGCTGGGCTAGATAATAATGACATCTACCAGATAGGAACACCAAGGGGAAGCCAGAAAAGGAGGACAGAGGCTAGGAATGTGTGTATCCTTGACCCACAATAAAAGAGTGTTTCCAGTGAGAAGGGGGGATTATCATTCAAATGCTATCAGTGCATCAGGTGAGAGAAGTGTTTCTTGGACTGCTGGGGACCTTGCAAGCACAGTCTCCTAGTGAGGGGACAGGAGACAAAAATGGCAGTGGACGGAAGCCTGAAAGGAAGGGAAGGAAGAGAAGGCAGCAAGCAAAGTCAGCTCTTCCAGAAGGGCGACTGAAGGGGGTTACGGGGTTATAAAATCAGGCAGTTGTTGTTATGTTTGTTTTCTGGCTTTTAAAATATTTTTAAGATGGAGAAGTCTTAGGCATGTTTAAATATTGGTAGAAAGAAGTGAAGGGAGGGTTGAAGACACAGGTTGAGGGAGAAGGTGGGATGGACTCTTGGAGGCAGTAGTAGTAACCTTAGGAAGGGTACGCTTTTCCCACTGCACCAGGAACAAGGCGGAGATGGAGTCCAGAAGCAGGGAGCTCTGAATGACTGTTACGGAAGGTCTGGAAGTCCTTTCCTGATGGGCTCTGTTTCCTCTGAGAAGGTGGTGAGGTCTCTTAGACCTGCTAAAATTACAGCTGCTTCCCCCTGCAGGTCTGGATCTGACATATTGTCCCTTCATCACAAAGAAACTAAATTTCAGAGATGAAGAGAACCAGAGATGGGCCAACAAGAGTTTGCTTGGCTTTTGTTCCTGATCCATAATAATGCTAAACTTTATTCAATTCTTTTCTCCAGTTTTCTATCTGCAGGTGGCGCTCATCATTCAGTCCAAACCACCCTGGTCCACAGCAGAGGGAGTGGGGAGAAGTCAGAGGGGCATGTCATAGCTCTCAGCTACACAGCAGTGACTATTAGCCCACAAGGCTCCCCACCCCAAACCACGACTAAAATCAGCATGCTCTTCTCCCCAGAGTTTGGGGGCCCAGAACTGGGCAAACAGTTTATCTTTTTCCTCACATCATCATTTTTCAAGAAATAAAATTAGAGTGAAACTGAAACCTATTATTTACAGGGTGGGGCAAAAGTAGGTTTATAGTTATGAGTACATGAAACACGGGGTTTATTCTTGTATCATTTATTAACTACTGTATTATTTTCCATAAGAACAACTGTAAACCTACTTTTGCCCCACCCTGTAGAGCAGAAGTTTTAGTCAGCCATTTCTGTTTTTCTTTCAAGAATTTTTTTCATGATCAGCAATGTGCCTCGCCATTGCTGCTTATCATCCCTGCGTGGACTGGGGAAAAACTTTTCAAGGATTGGGAGGGCAGGTCTTGAAAGACAAGGAAAGAAAGTTCTATAAGAAGCAAATTGTTGACTGTCATCAGCCCCCGAAGTACTTTGTCTTCTCTCCTAAGTTGTTTTGAGCCTATTCACTGTTGGACTCGTACCCTACCCCCTCCCACAGTGTGCTTATCCTGGGTCAATTCTCGGTTTCCAATGGGTGTGTACCTCCAGAAACTCCTTTCCTTCCAAGGAAGCAAGTGCCCTCTCCAGACCTGGGGATCATGGCCCTCCAACATAGGAGCGGCCATGTTCACGTGGCTGTTCTAGGCTCTCCTTTCACCTCATAGCAACAACTGATCTTAATATAAAAACCCACAGCTGCATTTCTGAGATGAGCTTCCCTTTCTCCTACTCATCTAAATTTCCTCTTTCGACTTCTCTACAACCTTCTATGCAAACTTCTAGCATCAGGCTCCTTTCAACTTCTCAACAAAGTTCTCTACAAACCCCTCCCGTTTCTCCCATTGAAGTGTGTATCGGGGAAAGGGTGGCTTCCCCTTCTGTTCTGAACCAGCAAGTTGTGAGCACCTCATGTCCACTTCTCTGTCTCACTTTCTCCCTGAAACTCCTGGCCTAGTCTCCCCAAACAGGATGTGACCAGAAGTTGGGCATGCCACCCTCTCTGTTACCGCTCCAAGTTCAGTCCTCAGAGGGAGTCACTTGATGGACCCACCTACTTCCTGGCTTTGTTTCCTGTGCTCATGTGCCTTTCAGAAAATTCATCTTCTTCAAACCTCCACAGAGAAAGTCTCTAATACCTTTCAGTCTGCCAGTACAGTAATTCCTAATGTACATTTTCCCAAACAGGAGTCATTTAGATTCACTAATACTACCATTAGGTGGGAAGTGGAGGGAGGCTTCTGCAGAAGAGTCCAGAATAGATTGGATCTTTCCAAGTTTGTGTGAATAAAAGGTAAAGCAGAGTAAAGATCCTTCCTGGTAATCCAGTGGGTAACCACTGAATCAGACAACACATGCATCTATCTCAAGACAACATTAACTCTCAGAAAGAGTACGATCTAGGTCATATTTAAAAAGAAAAACACAGTATTTTACTTTTACACCATGCCATACATGATCATCAGTGATGTGCTATTAAATATTGAACAACCAGTTGTCTGGGGGGAAAAGTTTGCATATATGTCTTTGTTCATTATGAATTTTATGGATATAAAGTTTATAGCACATAATTTACAAATAATAAAAAATATACAACACCTTTTATTGTAAATTTCAAATAGCCAGTAGATTCTCACATAACTTTTCAAAGATTTTTGCTCATCTCATATTTGTAGCTGCAATTAATGAGTATAGTTCTGACATAAAAGTTGGTTGATACTTTTGTTTACATTAACAAAGGAGATGAAAATGAGACAATGAAGACAGATGTAAAAACTTCTCTTATTTGTCAGTGACATGAGCTCCTGCTTTGCTAAATTGGATAATAGTTTTTAAATACTGCAAGAATATTTTCTCAGTTGTTTGTGCTCTTTACTATGTAATGGCTACAGACATGACACGCTTTTAAATTGAATTTGCCTTATTAACATATTCTCTATCACTTTCTTAAGTTCAGACAATCAACAAAATAATAAACAAATCCCTGATTTGTAGTGTTTGCCAATTCCATGGTGTAAATATTCCCATCATGGCTAATTTTAAGTTCCCAATGTGATATCACTGAATGCAGAGTTGGGAAGAGATGACCAGTGGCACACCCTTACATAATACTTCTACCTTACAGATAAAATAGACATCAATAACTCAAGAGTACAGATAATAGTAAAATGTAGTAAGTAATTAGGAAGTGATGAATTTTCAGTATTTATTATTTTTTAAGAGAGAATCTATTTTATTATAATTTTATACAATGTAATTCTAAGTAACTGTAGTTAATAACTGACTCACAAAATTTCTGAAAATATAAAAATCAGCTCTGGTGAGCTAATATGAGCCAGCTCCAGCACAAAACTCTACCCTTCTCCCAAGAGAGGTAGTATTACCAGATAGAGCAGTCAGTACACCCCACCTCCAGCTGCTACATCCACCTTAGTGCAATTGTACTAATTCTTCTAGTCAAATAGATTTTAAAACCG